CGCCCCCCGCGGATGAGCCGCCGCGGAGCGCGGGCGGACGATGGAACTCCACATCCTGGAGCACCGGCTGCAAGTTGCCAGCGTCGCCAAGGAGAGTATCCCGCTCTTCACCTACGGCCTCATCAAACTTGCCTTCCTGTCTTCTAAGACCAGGTGAGCGCGCGGGGACGCGCCGCCGGCCGGGGAGAGACAAAGAGGCGCACCCGGGCGTCTGTCCTCGTCGCCGCCGCTCGGAAAACAACTTCGAGCCCCGGGGAGCGCCCCCGCCCCGCAGGTCTCCTTGTTTTTGACAAAGCCACCCAATCTGCCCTCAAACAGGGTCCGGCCACCTCGATTCCTCCAGATGCACACCCGCCGCTGTCTCCCCCCATCTCAGCCCCCCTCCCTCACAGCCCCTCCCTGAGATCTGGAGGGCTGGGGAGGCTGCAGTGGCAAATCCGTGAATGAATGAACGAACGAATGAATGAATGAAAAACAGGTGTGGGGACGCGGCAATGGAAAAAACAAACTACCACCTCCCATCCCCCAATCCCTCGATTGGGCCGGCCCCCGTCCCCAGAGCAGTGGGGAGGGATTCTGCTGAGCGCGGCTACCCAGAGCAGAAAATCATAAAATCATTAGTGGGTGTTTATCTCAAGGTGCTGGAGGATTGCGGACGGTGCCGGGGAACTGGGGGAGGGCAGGAGACTGGCTGCGGGTGAGCGTCACGGTGGTTCTTAATCCTCAGGGTTCGGGAAGGTGGGGGGGCGGGGGGGGGCGAGGGTTGCCGAACCGTGGAAGGAGGAAGAGCAGTCGTGTTTATGGCTCTGCCTTAAGGCTGGGCTTGGATGCTGTTGGGGGGGAAATAGTTAAAGGCCTTGGGAGGATGAAAAATAACAAGTTGGATTTTCCCAATGCCAGGTCAGGTCTGACTTTGTGAGCCCCGGTAGATGCTTGGATTAAAGTGGTTTTTTGTTTGTTCGTTTGTTTTGTTTTTTGTTTTTTTAAGGTGCCCTAGGCCAGTGGGGGTATGAGTGAGAGCTAGCCTCTGTAACTTCAATCCCTTGTTTGTCCACCATTGTGACTATTCAAAGGGATGAAGTTGTTGCTGGTTGGGTTTTTCAGAGACTGGGGCACAGAGGTGGTTCTCCCTCCCTGCAAAATGAATGAATAAATTACTGGACAAGGTTAACGTTACAATGAAGGAGCCCCGAATCTGCCCTCTTGGGCGCTGAGCTCAGAGGAGCTCCAGGGATGCAGGGAAATAATTCAATTTGAGCCTCTTATCTGGTAAAGTTCTTGCCTGGAAATCTCACTTTGATGTGTGTGTGTCAGAGCCAGGGAGCTCAGTCCAGCCATTGTTTTCGAGATGGAACGAGATCTGCCAGTGGCATCTTGTTTACTTTCTTCTCCAGTGGGGTATGAAGGGTTGAAATCCTTGTCTTTGCTGGGCCCTGGCTCTTTTGATTGCAAAGGTAATTATTAAACAGGTTATTTGAAAACAAAAGCCCATAGCTCAGATTCTGAATCTCCCCTTCCCCCTCCCCCACAGCCCCCTCTGGCTGTTGACACCCACCATCCTAAATCTACCTACCTGCCACCTGCCCGCCTCCTCCCTCCTCCCCGCCCCCCCAGCCTGTCTTGAGTCCAAGGCTGGAGTAAGAGAAAGCGACCTGTTTTTCCAACCCTTGGCCCTCAGCCCCAGGCAGCCCCCTGGTTGATTTCTCGGCTACCATTCAAACCAGGATGATGACTCAGGCTGCGGCTGTGCAGGGCCTGGGTGCCAGGAGGAGGGGGCATGGGGGGCTTCTTTGAAAGACCGCAAAGGGCCACTCCCTCTGCCCCTAGCCCTTTGTGAAGGGACTGGCCCTCTTCCAGCCCCACCCCAGGTTCCACTTTGGTGGGCTCATAGATAGGCATGTCCTGGTGGTGAGCTCCTGCTGTTGTGTCTAATCATGGAAACCTACCCCTCAGTGGGTCCCACTTTTCCTTCTCCTGCAGGAGGCAGCTGGTCTGAGGCCCAGGTGACCAGTCCAGTCCCAAGATGACTCAGAGTTCAAAGGTCATTTGCATGTCTCCAGAGTCTGGCTGTAGAAGGTGCTGAGTTCATTTATCAAATGGCTGAAGGCTGCCTCCATGGCATTCTGGGCTAGGACACTGACTTCAGGTTGCGATTAGCCCCCTCCCTCCCTGTGTGACGGTGGCAGGGTTCCTTTCCTTCTTTGGCTCTCACTTTCTTGGTCTGTGATGAAGAGAACAACCATTTGGCCCACTAGTTTTCACAGAGCTGCTGTGTTTATAGCATGGAATGATTGTGGAAATGGGCTTTTTAGCAAATATAAGACTTCGTGGGGTGTGGACATATTGTGTAAGCTATTGTCAATAATCAGTCGTCCAGGAAGATGATTCTTCCATTAGTATCTGCCCCCAAGTAGTAGCCCATAGCCCCGTCATTTTCCTCCCACCCCCAACCTAAGTTCAGCACAAATTTGTGTAGCATCCTCCACCACCACCAGGGTCTCTGTGCTGTCTTTTTACATGTTTTCAATCACTCACTATAATAGGGTGGATCTGGATCCAGAATCCTCCTCTCTAGCCACTTGCTGGCAAACCCTTTGATGACCTGCAGTTTACTTTATTCTTCCCTTCACACCTCCATGCTTTAGTGCTTCCATCTCTACCTGGAACCCCCACCTCAGTAAATTCTTATTCAATCTTCAAGATCTAGTAATATCACCCTGAAACTTCCCTGAACCCCCCCCCCTTTCCACCACCCCCAGCAGACTTAATCACTTCTTCCCTCTTGTGTCTACCTTGGGAAGGAGTATAGCATTGGAAGATACACACTGTGTGGGGATGCATCTGGGTCCAAGAGATGCTGAGATACCCTCCTCCTCCCTCTTTGAAGCCCAGAGCCTGGTAGGAGAGAAGGACAGAGGTGATCACAATACAGCAGGTGGAATCAGGGAAGGGGGTCCCGTGTGGTGGGGGAGGCATTGAGGGACTCCCTGCGGGAGGCAGGTAGGCTTCTTACAAGAGATGGCACTGAGTCTTAGGCCTTTAAAATAGGAATTAGCTAAGTGGGAAAGGAGATCCTGATCCCAGATCCTGTGTATATCATGGTACAACTCTGTGAATTAGGTTTTACACCTGCTTTGCAAAAAAGGAGTTCGAGGCTCAAAGGTTAAGTGACTTGCTCAAGGTTACATCAATGAGTGGAAGAGCCAAGACTTGAATCTGCATCTCTCCTGCTTAAGCTCAGAGATTTGCTATTTCAGGTTGCAAATGATGCCCGTCTATATTCAACAGTTATGTCCAGCCCTTCTATTTGCAGCCCACTGTTCTAAAGATTTTAGGAGCACAGAGTGGCACCTGTAGGCTTTCTGTATTCCTTCTACCCTCTTTGTGGGCCTTTTCTTCCATCAAGAATGTTTGTCCCTCATCGCCCCCTCATCTAGACTTTCTGCATCCTGTCCCCCCCAGCTCAGATGTGTCTTCTGCTTAACCTTTCATCACTTCTCAACTTTTGTCCATAACATTATATTGTTTGCAGTCTTATTCTCCCTCCTAGATTATACTCGGGAAACTTTTTGTGCATCTTTTTATCTACTCACCCCCAGTACCAGAGATAATAAAGCCACCATCTATCACAAAGAGGTAAAGAGGTGAAGACACTGGGTTTAAAGAAGTAAAGTAGCTTGGTCAAGGTCACACAGCTGGAAAGAAACAGAATTGGAATTTGAACCAGGTCCTCTCACCTCTGCGCTTAATACACTGCTTTGTAGGCACTTAGTAACTGCCTGTTTGATGGATGTCCCACTCGTGCAGAGTGACCCAGATTTTAGCCAGAGTCTCTTATGAGTACCCTGGGGGCTGGAAGAGGCACAGCAGGCAGAATCACACCTGGAGAGGCAAGGCCCAGCACCCCTGCCTCAGCTCTCTGCCCCAACTCAGGGCAGTATCTGGGTGTGACTGGAATAGGGGGCAGAAGGCCAGCTGAGTGCACTTATTGCAGGCTTGGTGAGACCTTGGGCGAGCAAACTGAAGGCTGTCCACAGAGCTTTTTCCTCCACCCTTGTGATCACCTGAAGTTCTGTATCCCACCCACCCTTCTCTCCAGCCTCATCTCTCATGGCTCCCAGCCATACAGACCCACACAGCCATACACCCTATGGTTTCTCTAGCTTCATGCCAGTTCTGTCTGCCTGGAATATTACTCTTTGCCCTACCCGCTTTGTCTACCTGCTCATTCTTTTAGATTCCATTTTAGCCTCGCCACCTCCAGGAAGTCTTCCCTTACTGCACAGCTGAGCTCAGACTCTTCCTCTGGTATAATGGGCATAATCTCAAGAAGATGAAATGTGACCCACCGTGGAATATTAGCAGGATGCTTGGGGCTGCAGATAACAAATAGCCATGATTTAGCTGTCCTAAACAATAAGAAGTTTGCATTTTGTATGATAAGACATGAGTTGGGCTGCCCTAGAGTTGATAACTTAAAGGCTTGATGGTGTCATCAAAGACCCAGGTCTTTCTATTTGGACATCCTTGGCATGACAGTGACTCCCTATAGAATGGCTAAGGTAGCTCCAGGTCTTATGGGCAGTTGGGTAGAAACCTAGTGGAAGGGAAGGGCTGTTGCCTCCAGGTGTCTCTGAGAAAACCTTTCTAGGAACATGCCCAGCTCCTGCACAGACTTCCTCATCTCACTGATCAGATTGGGTCACGTGAGCATGCCTGCACCAATCAGATGGACAGGGAATGAGACCATCACAGACCAGTCAGGATTCACCACTGCAGGTGGAGCTTGTGGCCACCAGGAGGTGGAGGCTAGTATAGCCCTTCTGGTTCTCAGATTTGCTCTCTGTGGCCCTGTCAGGCAAAACAGAACAGTTAGTAAGCATACAGTAAACACAACTATGACAACTGCAAGTTGTCTGGATTATCCCTTTACAAATGAGGGAACCAAAACACTCGAATGCCCAAGGACACACAGAATTGGCAGAGCTGGGATTTGAACCCAAGAAGTCTGGTTGTAGAACCTGTCTTAACGACTGCTAGGCCAGGCCTAAAAGTACACCAGTTTGGGCATGCCTTTTCCAGGAGCCACTCAGCAGAGGTGACTCCTAGAGGCCATAGCACCCCTCCCCCGAGCAGTGAAGGAGAGTGTGGGG